ACACACACACACACACACACACACACACACACACACACACACACACACACACACACACACACACACGCACGCACGCACACACACGCGCACACACACACACACACACACACGCACACGCACACGCACGCGAATGACTCGATGCACTTGACCGTTCGCCCACCTCTCGCCTTCAACGCCTTCACATTCGTGTACATGTGTGTACATTGTTGCATTTGCTTTTTTTTGCTTTGTCAGTTCTGGTGGGCAGCAAGTTCCTCGCGCCGTCTTTGATGATGCCATCCGCCTCATGAATGGTACGGTACACACATGCACGCGCATGCACACAAGCGAATGCATCCATGCACCCATGCTTGTATGGTTCCAGCTCCCCATTCTGCTAACACCAACACCCAACACACACACGCGCGCGCGCGCATCCCCTGCAGGCGAGCGGCTGGAGCGGCGGTATCCGATGGTACAGCTCAGCGCACCCTTCCCCGAGATCCCAATCCCCGGCCACACCCCGTCCCACCGGCCCCGCCAACAACAGCAGCAGCAACAGGCGGCACCTGGCAGCAGCAGTGGTGGTGGCAGTGGGGATATGCTGACACCACCACGGCCGCTGCACGAGTACGTGACGCGCTCGCAGATTTCAGACGCGCTGCGCGTGGCGCTCGGTGATGAGAGCAGCGGCCGCACCGACGGCGATGATGGCGACAAGAAGGATGGCGCCAACGCGATGGACGAGGACAAGGACAAGGACGAGGGGAAGGACAAGGAGGAGGGGAAGGACAAGGAGGAGGGGAAGGACAAGGACGACAAGGACGAGGAGAAGGATAAGAAGAAGGAGGGAGGTGATGCCAGCGGTGGACAAATGGACACGCAAGCCGACACCACGACGCAGGGCGCCACCAGCACCACGACGGCGGCAGAAGGGGCGGCACCACCAACGACAACACCAGCGACTGGTGGTGGCGGGCAGCAGCCAGCGGCGGAGCGATACGCAGACCAGCTCAAGCAACTCAGGGAGATGGGATTCACCGACGAACAGACCTGGTGCGTTGGGCGTCTGTGTTGTGTTGTGTGTGTGTGTGTGTGTGTGTGTGTCTGTGTCTGTGTCTGTGTCTGTGTCTGTGTCTGTGTCTGTGTGTGTGTCTGTGTGTCTGTGTCTGTGTGTGCCCACGGCTTACGTGCCCTTAGTCCTACACTGTTTTCCATGCCTCATTTCCCCACCGCTCACCACCTTCCCCCGCCTCCCGAAACCAACAGCATCCAAGCCCTGGAGCGTGCCAACGGGAGCATCAACATCGCACTGCAGTTCCTCTTTGGCTGATGCCATAATCATGAGGGGAGTGCCATCTCATCGCTGTATTGCTGCGTCACACACCACTTCCACACGCACAAAGCACCGCACGAAACGCACCCAGGCACCACCCCCCCCCCTTGTGAGTTCGCTCCTGCGTGATGGCAACCAACCAACCAACCAACCAACGAAGTCCCACATGAAGCAAAATGACCCACTCAAGCAACGTAATTGAGGGGGAAACGGAGAAGGAGAGAGGGACACACAGAGAGAGAGAGAGAGACACGTTCACGAGCAACCTTCAAATACACAGCCTTGCACATGCACGCCTGTTAACTACAAGCCCTGCAACTCTATCGACATCATTCACGACTCTGGCACATCACTCATCCACCAGATACCTGCCAGTGCATAAGTGTGTGTGTGTGTGTGTCGTTGTGTCCAAGCGCGCGTGAGCATGTGTCAGCTGGGTGTGAACACGTGTATGTGTGTGTGTGTGTGTGTGTGTGTGTGTGCAGGTGTGCAGTTGTGCAGGTGTGCAGGTTCACGCTTGTGACGTGATGCAAATAAGCGAGCGCATGTGCAACCAGCACCATGTGGGAGGTGCATACCACTGGTGTTTGCGACTGCTGCGAATCTCCTCTGGCTTCTCTGACGTCTGGCCACGGAATGTCAAGTATCCCCATGCACGCACGGAGTTCAGGCCCTGCAAACACCCAGCAAGTCAAGGAGCAACAACAAACACCGCACAAGGAAGGTAGATGTCAATGTGAGCGCACCTGCACATGGCCACCAAACCCACGCATGCAGTGCACACGTGGTGCACCCGTACTGCACATGAAGTTCAAACCAACACACACACACACACACACACACACACACACAAGCACTCGCGCAAACACACGCGCACACACAAAACCACGACGACCGACCAACCAGTTTCCTGACGCGCGTGATGGTGTAGTAGCACGGCTCCTCCCACTTTGACCAGATGGTTCGGCACACCTTCTTGCCAACACCGTACTGGTACAAAGAGTTGCATATCGAGTGCAGCTGCTGTGGATGATCCCGCAACAGTGCTCCCCTGCTCACCACCTTCAAGATGTTGCTCATCGCTGGTGTTCGCCGTGTGCTTCTGTGCCTTGGATTGTGGGAAAGTGGTGAAAGATACAGCGAAATTTCTATTGTGTGTGTGTGTGTGTGTGTGTGTGTGTGTGTGTGTGTGTGTGTGTGTCGTGTGTGTGTGTGTGTCTGTGTGTCTGTGTCAGGCAACCGCACGCAGAAGGGGAAGGGTTACATTCTTGCCTCTGGTATTGCCCCCTTAGGATGTGATCGATGCGATCAGATTGAATTTTCGAAATGAGTTGGCTACTCCCGACAACTTCTATTATGGACGTTAATCCGGGTATAATGATTTTGGACAGCCAACCAAGAACTTACTTGTTGTGTGTGTGTGTGTGTGTGTGTGTGTGTGTGTGTGTGTGTGTGTGTGTTCGTGTGTGTGTGTGTGTCTGTGTGTCTGTGTCTACGTGTGTCTGTGTGTGTGTGTGTCTGTGTGTCTGTCTGACTGTGTCTGTGTGTGTGTGCACGCGCTCCCTTTCCTTCTCTCAGGATCGATTGCCCGCCTGCCGATCCTCCTTCGTTCTATCAACCGTTGGTTTGTTTATTTCGGCCATTGGCGCGAAACCAAGCGACGAAGCATGCTGCTGCCTCGCTCACGCCAGCCAGAAGTAAGCAATCACCAGCGCCAAGAGGGCAACAGCCACGCCACCAATCACGCCAGCCACGTGAGAGGAAGCAGGTGGCGATGCCACGGCTGTAGAACTTGAACCCTTGCTTGTATTGGCGGCCGTGTGTGGTGCGCGGTCTTCCTTCTTCTGCTGGCGCGTTACATGCTTGTGCTGATGCGCTGCCTCCTTCTTCGGCTTGTCACGCTTCTCTGCCGGGTCACCACCACCACCAACACCTGCAGCAGCACTGCTCTTCTCAGTGTCCATCTCGCACGTGGTGGGTGTGCATGGCGCAATCTCCGCATCGGTCCGCCCCAGTGCCCGCAGCCGCTGGTACTCGGGACAGGGTAGCTCCTGCCAAAACGTGTAATCACCACGCGTTTTGTGGGTGGGCATGTGCGTGTGTGGGGTGGGTGAGGTCGAGAGGAGTTGAGGAAGCAAGCAGGCGATAGCGCAGTGATTGGATGCCACACAGCACACAAGAACACCCCCTCCCGCCATCACCACGGACAAGGACGGCTGCGTACCTTCTTGCGACCCCTGCATTTGCACCGCAGCCTGACGTTCTTGGTGCACTCCTCCGTTGGAGAGCAGGGTCCGGAATGACACGTGGACACGCACCGGTGGCCACACCCCATTCGCTTCGGGCACCGCCCCCCGCACGACCGCTGCTGGTCCCGCTCAGCAGGCGTTGCTGCACACCACTCGCTGCACACCACACGGAAGCGCGTGGCGTTGCAGTGGCACGTCAGCTCGATGCTCTCCATGCAGGGTGGGCAGGCGCCTGCATGGCAGCGCCCCTTTGGGCACGTGTGCGTGCAGTCTGTGGGGCGTGTGCGCGGACATGCTTTGCGACACGTGCCGCAACCTCGACCAATCATCGGCGCGTCCCCACGCAACGCCGGGTCGCTGCTGCTATTACTGTTGCTGTTGCTGTTGTTGTTGTTGGTGGTGTTGCTATTGCTGCTGCTGCTGCTGTTGTTGCTGTTGGTGTTGTTGCTGTTGCTGCTATTGCTGCTGTTGCTGCCTTTGCCCTTGCCGCTGGCGGTGGTGGCGCGACCAAGCCCAAGCTCCGGCGTGCTGTAGACGGCAGCGTCAGCGGCTGCAGGTGCGCTGGCATCGGATCCAAACGCCTGGCGAAGCGATGCGTCCACTTCACACCACGTCGCCCCGGCTGATAGGGGCAGGTGGCACCCGCGATCACAGTGGTGCTGCCCGCACGCCATCATCCGCCCGCACCGTTGCTTGCAAGCAAACGCCTTGTTCTCGCAACATGGCATCTCCCGAATCTCGTGCATTCCCACGCATGCGCGTGCCACAGGCTCCTACAACCACACATGGGGGCAGTGAGGCAGGCAGTTTATGTGCATACGAGAGAACGTGCGCAAATGAGCACATGATGCATGTGTGCGTGTGTGTGTGTGTGTGTGTGTGTGTGTGTGTGTGTGTGTGTGTGTGTGTGTGTGTGTGTGTGTGTGTGTGTGTGTGTGTGCGCGCGCGCGCGCGTGTGCGTAAGCGAACGGAAGTCCCCTCTGTACATTTGCTTCCGCAACGCTTGTGCTTGTGTACGCTTGCTCGAGAACGATACCTTGCATGGAGGACAAGGGGTGGGTTGTGGCGGCAGCAGCGGCGCGTGTGCGTCTAGCGTGTTCGTGTTCCCGCCTGCGGGCTTGCTGCCTTGCTTGGCCTGCTTCTTCTTGAGTTTCTTGTTCCTCTTCTGCTGTTTCCGTCGCGCGTCCCTCGCCGCTTTCTCTTCCGCCAGGGTTGGCTGCTTGTCGTGGCACCTGCAGGTGCACGCCAGGGCGGTCAGCGAATTGAGGATCAACACACCACAAACACAAACGAGCAAGCTGAACGCTGTAACACGCCAACGCCGCAGGCTGACCATGACTGAACACACACACACACACACACACACACACACATGACTCACGGTGCGTGGCAGGTGTGTCCACACTTGAGCGGCTGGCTGCACGTCTGCGTGCAGG